AGTACTTAAGACATGGCCAACATGAACTTAAAAATGGTGCTCACACATGAGGCTAAAATGACACTTTTTGAAGACAACAAGGAGAGGGGATGGCCCTCTCCTTCCTAGGACCTTAAACCACCATCCTCACCACTGAAATCCCTCAGGATTTCAGTGGTGAGGATGCCCAAACAAGGTGGTCCCGAAATTCACCAAAAAAAGCACAAAATGGGGCCAAACAAGGCCTAAGAGGGGGTAAACGACCCCAAACACAAAAGTGTCCTTGATGAAGTATCTTAAACACAAAAAAACAGAACTTTTTTATGTTATACACAAAGCTCAAATCAGCAAGCAAGACAGGCTAAAATGGTGTGCAAAAACGGAGAATAAAGAGGGAAAATGGGTTACCTTTGTAGCCAAAAGGGGACAGCAGCCTCTAGACCCAAAAATGCAACCCTCAACCTCTGAAAACAAGACCCAAGAACCTCCAAGTGATGATGGAAGTGTTGTGCTAGGAGGTGTAGTTCAAATGGCCAAGAACTAGACCCTTTTGGACCCTCTAACCAACACAAATGTAGAGAGAGAGGGAGATATAGAGAGGGAGTGATATATATATGATATATATCAGATTTTTCTAACCCCCAAAAGGGGAGGAGAGGTTCTCTTTATATAGAGAAACCAATGGGGCAAAGCTTCTCTTAGAAGCTTTGACCAAAAAGGCCAAGCTTCTCTTAGAAGCTTGGAGCAAAAGGGCCAAGAAGGCCAAACTTCTTGCAGAAGCTAGACAAAAGGGCCAAGCTTCTTGGAGAAGCTAGACAAATGGGTCAAGCTTCTTGGAGAAGCTAGACAAGGGTTCAAGAGGTGCAAGCTTCTCTTGGAAGTTTAGAAGGGTTCAAGCTTCTTGGAGAAGCTTGGAGCAAAGGGTTCAAGCTTCTTGGAGAAGCTAAAAAGGGTCAAGCTTCTTGGAGAAGCTAGACAAAGGGTCAAAAGGTTCAAGCTTCTTGGAGAAGCTAAAAAAAGGATCAAGCTTCTTGGAGAAGCTAAAAAGGTTCAAGCTTCCTCAAGAAGCTAAAAAAAGGTTCAAAAGGGTCAAGCTTCTGGAGAAGCTAAAAAGGTTCAAGCTTCCTCAAGAAGCTAAAAAAAGGTTCAAAAGGGTCAAGCTCCCTCAAGAAAAGGTCTCAGCCAGCAAAAGTGGCCGATTGATCAGAAACAGTGGCCGGCCGACCAAACACAATGCCGACCGACAATAAACAGTGCCGACCGGCAATATACATTGCCGATGGTAGAAAAAACCAGCCGGTGGCCTCTGGCCATGGCCGGTGGTGTGTGGGGATGCCTCACAAGGCATTCCCTGCCCCTCCAAGGAAAAATGCAAGTGTTTGGTGCAAAACCAGACACTGAACAGTCAAGTTCGGAGATCCTGAGGTAAGGCGCGTAGCCGAGACCTCCGGGAACTCCAAACGAACACAAACATGGATGATCACCGAATGTTCAAACGGTGACGTCCAAGTCTTGAGGACGGTCAAAAATGGGGTGTCTACAATGGGCTTGGCACAGTTTAATCCATGGGAGAGAGTTACTCAAAAAGGGGACTCAATAGCAAATCCAAAATGGTGAATCAGCTCTTTTTTGGGATGACAAATGGATTCCCGACTCCAGAAACTGTAAAATTTCATCCCCGCCTCCTCCACACAGTACCATTATTCATGTATCAGATGTCATTGATCCAATTCACAAACGATGGCAGATGGATCTTCTTCGCCCGCTTGTCTCGAGGGCCGATTGCCGTGCAATCCAATCTATTCCTCTTTCTTACGAGGATAGAGCTGATGTATTGGTGTGGTATCTATCCAAATCTAGAGTGTACTCAGTGAAGTCGGGTTATTGGGTTGCAAAGTCTCTTATCACAGAGGAATCACCATCTCACCCGTCTAGCTCGTATCAAGTCCCTATAGATTTCTGGAAGCACATTTGGAAAGTCGAAGTCCCTCCGAAAATCAAACACTTTTGGTGGCGAGTGTGCAAAAATACTTTGGCTACCAAAGCCAATTTACATAATCGACACTGCTCCCCGTCTAGTATTTGTCCAATCTGTTTATCGGAAGTTGAATCAATGGAACATTTGTTATTTGACTGTGCTTGGACCCAATCAATTTGGTTTGGTAGCATGCTTAATCTCTGAATAGATAGAGGATTGGTGACTAATGTTGTGCCTTGGACAGCAGATTGGATTGCAGCTGAGCAGGAGGGTAGAGCAGAGTGCAAGGTACTGTCTCAGGTCTTTCTCATTGGATGGTACATCTGGAAAGCACGAAATGATTTCATTTTCAATCATATCCCAGTTAACCCATCTGCGACTCTTTCCAAAATAGCGGGGGGCTGGCTTGAGGGCCAACAGCAAGGTACAAACGACCCCAATTCCAACACTGTTTCCCAAAGGCCAGCGTGCAATAGGAACCACCGATGGCTCCCACCTCGGGTTGGGGAGTTTAAGTTAAACTGCGACGCCAGTTTTAGAGCAAACGGGGAAAAGGCTTCAGCTGCTGTCCTCCTTCGAGATTCCGAGGGGCACCTGCGGGATGGCAGTGCTTCAGTTTTCTACTCCTCATCAGCCTCTGCTGCCGAAACTCAAGCTGTGAGTCTAGCAGCTCAAATGGCGATTGCTCTTCACCTAGATTCAGCCATCATTGAGAGTGACAATCAAGAGGTTATTAAACTAGGTGTCTTAGAACAGGTTCCTCCTTGGGAAACTTTGGCCATCTTTCTTGATATTCGTCAACTTGCAAGACAGGGCAACTTTCAGTTGAAATGGACAAACAGAACCAACAATAGGGCTGCCCATTGGGTAGCACTAGCTTGTGCCCATAATGTACTGCCAGTTGGTTGGGTTTCCCATCCTCCATTGGCTCTTGGTGAAATTGTCCGGCTTGATGCTTTTCCTGTTTCCATGTAATTTCTGGTGGTGTAACTCTTTCCGTTCAAAAAAATATATATATATATAAGATTCAAGCATAACCTTAAATTGGCATCCAAGACATTATTGGAAGACAAACATTAACTGAAATCCCTAATTTAAGAAGTTGGAAATGATGAAATGAAGGTTTCTAATTGATCAAGTATAGCCACATCTTGTTCATGCACAGTCACCCATGCCTCTACTCCACCAGGATATTTAGAATCCATAATGATGATAGAGTTCTTAGTGTCCATGGTAGCAATACTCACCCAACTGGGCTTTCCCCACCCAATTTGTAATTTACAAACAAATTTTTTTAGGAAAAAAAATAATAATAGAAGGATTTTGTAAATTAGCTACTACTTCATCCACTTTTCACTTTAAAATCTCTCTCCAAATATATGATTCAAGCATAACCTTAAATTGGCATCCAAGACATTATTGGAAGACAAACATTAACTGAAATCCCTAGTTTAAGAAGTTGGAAATGATGAAATGAAGGTTTCTAATTGATCAAGTATAGCCACATCTTGTTCATGCACAGTCACCCATGCCTCTACTCCACCAGGATATTTAGAATCCATAATGATGATAGAGTTCTTAGTGTCCATGGTAGCAATACTCACCCAACTGGGCTTTCCCCACCCAATTTGTAATTTACAAACAAATTTTTTTAGGAAAAAAAATGATAATAGAAGGATTTTGTAAATTAGCTACTACTTCATCCACTTTTCACTTTAAAATCTCTCTCCAAATATAAGATTCAAGCATAACCTTAAATTGGCATCCAAGACATTATTGGAAGACAAACATTAACAGAAATCCCTAATTTAAAAAGTTGGAAATGATGAAATGAAGGTTTCTAATTGATCAAGTATAGCCACATCTTGTTCATGCACAGTCACCCATGCCTCTACTCCACCAGGATATTTAGAATCCATAATGATGATAGAGTTCTTAGTGTCCATGGTAGCAATACTCACCCAACTGGGCTTTCCCCACCCAAAATCTGCTTCATAGATTGGAAACCCACACCAACTACTGAACCTCAACACCTGCACTTTCCCTTTGGAAACCAGTTCACCTATCTTCTTCAAATCATTCATGACCGCTTCAAAACCATCCTCCCCTTGTCTTTCTTGTACATAATCACAATCAATTTTTTCAATTGCAACCCTCAGCTTAGTCACCAAGGTAGCCAAATCTGTTTCGTCATTCGAAACTGCATTCGCCATCAAAAAGAGATTGCCAAAACAATGTTCTGGCAATGCTGGGACCATCCTTTTCCTTATATTCACTGGATGAAATGCCATCGATGTGCTCGCAATGGAACCGTACTTCTTCCATATTAGTGCTGTTACCACCTCCACTCGGGTAGGTTGTATGCCAGCCAGATAGGGTACAACTTCAGATTTTAGAGCAGCTATTGTTGAGGCACTGAAAACCAATCTTCTAGTAACAAGTCCTGCTTCTAGAATTCGACCTACGTGCTTGAAACCGATTGGCTCTCTTGGTGGGAACAAAGTTGCTGAGATGAAACTTGGACACACCAAACTAGGCTTGCCGCGTGCTGTCGCAGCCCACCCTTTGATGAATGTGCTCAGGGTGCACCCATCAGCAATCTTGTGTGAGATGCATAAACCGATTACTACGCCTCCGCAGTTGAATAAGTTAACTTGGATGGCTAGTTGTGGTTGTTGTTCTTCTTCTTTATCTATGCTCAATACTCGAAAACTTAATTTATATGGAATCAATTGGTTCAACACATCAAGTTCTGGTCGATCAATGATATTCGAAAGCTGGCTATCAACACGGGTTTCAATGTAATCGACCCCCTTGTCGTTGCAATCCACTGAACTCTCACCTTTCACCCTTCCGGCCAGTGGGTAGAATTGAGTTAAGGTGTTTGATAGTGACGTTCTTAGTATAGAAGAGACCTCGGATTGTTGGACTTGAGGTGCTTCTTCAAGAGAGTAAAAAAGGACAAGAGGGACATATTGAAAAGGACAAATCTGATCAAATAAAGAGAGCTTGTAGTTTTTGAGGTTAGAAGGTGTAGGTGAGGATGGTTTGATGAGCTCTCTAGAAATTATGTCAATCTTCATTATCAAAAAATCAAAAAGTAAATTAGTTGTCTGCTTTGGTTAAGTAACTAATATTCCTAAAAATATCATTTTGTTTTTGGGAGGAATCTCAGTAGAATTTTGCAAAGACAATGTTGTCTTCAGGGTAATTAGTATGTTAATAAAGGCTCCACAACACAACAAAGCTAATATGGTAATTTATCATCAAAAGCAAAAGATTAAAGACCCATAAAAAATTATTCATAACAAAGAAATAATTTTTTTTTAACAATCTTCGAACATATCGATTCTTTTAGATTCTAAAAAAATATAAAAACAACTCAAAAAATAATTGCCAAACTCACCCTGAATAAGTACTTCCCAGTAAAAAATTGATTTAACACAGAGTTGCATATGTAGCTAGTTTTGGATACAAGATTGGACTTAGGCAAGCATTATTTGCACTCTCTTTTAAGCTTCTTGTATCTCATACAGTATGCATATATTTACAGAATACATGAGAATGGAATTGTGGAATCTTGGAAAAAGGTATGCCAATAGGAACTCTCAAGAATGATTGTAAAATTTTACAAGAATTTATAGAAATGCATTTATTTATATGAATATAATTAAGTACCTTTCTATGAATTTATAATCATATCTTAGACGGGTTCTCCAAATCAATCCCACGTGTACAATGACTTCATATGTGACAATAAAAATAATTGTATGATTGTCAAGTTAGATTAGATCATGGTTTTTAACTATGAGATCCTCTGATTTTCCTTCCAATTCTATGATGGCATGAAAGCAACTCTAAGGCCTTGAAGATGTAGTTTTCGCTTGATAGTATTATCCGTTATGACATATAACATTAATTGCCTTTACCAATTTGTTCTTTTCATTTGAAAATGTGTTTTGAAGGTTATGTTTAGATCATAAATTTAGATAGAGATTTGAAAATGGTAAAAAAAAAAAAAAGGAAAATATAAATAAAATCTAAACTAAATTTGTTTCTCCCTTTCTCTTTATTTTATTTTTATTTTTTTTTAATCTTTATTCAAATTCATAATCTAAACATAGCATAAAAAAGAAGTGTCTTACACTGACTTTATAAAAGGGAAAATTAGCGATACATCATCCATATAATTTAAGTAGTTTGAAGAGGTCCAAAATAATTTCATTTCCTAGTTAAGATATCTCACAGTCATTATTTTAGTATTTAAGTCATTTATTCCACCTTTTATATTATTTAAGTGATTTCAAAACTTTAAAATTTCATAACTTTTGATTTACATTTCTATTTTTTTTAATTATATTTTTAGAATCCTATAGACAAGTTCTTTTAAACAAGATTCATGAGTAATATAAAGGGAAATTGTTTTTTAAAGTCCCTGATATTAAAATTTTATAAGATAAAGAATATAAAATATTTTTATAGTAGTTAAGGTCCCTCAACATTTTTACAGAGAAAATTCGATTCAGAGAAATTTCAATTTTCATGTAGAAAGTTCTCTAATTTCACATAGAAATTTCATCGAGAAACCTTAACCTAATTAAAAAAAAAAAAAAAAAAAAATCTTTGACCTCACCTATTATACAAAGTTCAAAAGAGATATATTTCACTTATTTTCCCAGATATTAAAATTCTGGAAAAAGAAATCATAAAATTTCACTAACAAGCCGAAATTTCATTGACCTGACTTGGTCACCGAAATTTCACTAACCAAACAAAATTTCATTGACTTAGACTTAGTCAATACTGACCAACTAAAATTTCAATAACCTGTCTCAGATCAGTGAAATTTTGTCAATTTTTTTGTTTTTTTAGAATTTTGTATCAATTTTGAATCTTCTTTTATAGATCTTGATGATATAATTTCAAAAATACAAATTATATATATTTAAAAAAAAAAGATAGAGATCTACATCAAAAGTTGTAGAATTTTAAAATTTTCAAATGAGTTTAAAAAAGATATAGAATTGTCACCATCTGTTTTGAAACACCTAAATTAATATAAAAAATTGTATTATCTTTATCTTTCTAAAAAAAATATTATTAGAATCTTAAACTAAAAACCACTTTATAAATTCATTATATACATCGTCTGCATCCAATGTGCAACCGAACCTTTTTCAGAGCCCACGGAAATATTCATATTTAAATTGTAATTATAATTTTTAATATTTTATTTTCATCTATAATTAATTTTTGAGAGATTTATTAAAAAAATTCATTTTCAAGTATTTATATCCCAATTGGTCCATAAGATAATAAGTCCTATTATTTGAACATTTGATCTATCAAATTATAATTCTCATATTTAAGGTATTTTATAGACATTTCTACCCTTACAAATATTTTTTGAACGGTTAGCAATTTGAATATTTACATTGATGTGTGAATGTTCACATTGATAGTGTGAACATTCACATTGACAATATTCATGTTCATATTGACATGTTAACATTCACATTGATGGTGTGAACATTCACATTGACGGTGTGAACAATCACATCACAGAATATTCGCACTGCAAATATGAATATTATTAGGGGTATTTTGATAACTATATCACCCATAGTACTTATTAGAATATAAGAAAATAATGTGGACTAAATGAAACATAAGTAGGTGAAAATGAATTTAAGAAAAAATGGGTCTTAATTTTTCTTGCTTTTTTATAAGCAAAATTACTAATTAAGCTTGTCATTAAGTTTTTTGAGAGATCTTCTTTGATTAATAAAATGGAGAAATCTACTTTATTTTCTTGTGACATAGTCAGTTTTAAGTAAGATTTAAAATATTTTAAATTTGAAAACTTTATTTTTGCAAAAGCAATTGTAACAGTTATTGATAATAATAAGCAAAAGGAATCTAGTCTTTAATATTATTTTGTCTGTCAATTGGTATGTTTTTCTTTTCTCTTATTTTTATAAAAAAAAAATAATTGAAATTTGTTTACTCATAAAGTAAAGTAAATTATCAAAACGAAAAAAAAAAAAAAAATCATGTTTCAGAAAACTTATATGATTAATAAAATATTTTTAAATTATCATTATTGAGTTATTTTAATTTTTTAACATTAAATAGAAAATAAAAAGATAATTAAAGCTTATAGCAGCACAAATATAAATATTTGAGGTTTAGAAGACACATTAAAAATATATATGACTTTTGTTAATATTACCTTCAAAACACTTGTTAAAATTTTCAAATACTTGTACATTATTTATAAACGTATATTGTAACAAATACATAAGGGTAAATTACATTGGCATCCCTTTAATATCGTTTCCCTTCACATTTTAAAAATTATATTTTCCTTACTGAATTTTGTAATCTTATTACAAATTGTCTCATCTTGTTAAGTGGACATTAAGAACTAAACAAAAATTGATGATGTTGTACCCTAAAGTTTTGTGCATGACCATCTTACCATTTTCTCTATCATTTCTTCTTCCTATCATGATGACAACACTCTATAACTTTTCATCATTAAATTCTTCATGAATATAATCTTATTGAATAATAATATATAAATATAAATTTTATATAAGAACAGTAAACTTATCATGACGATTACACTCTATAACTTTTCATCATTAAATTCTTCATGAACATATTCTTATTGAATAATAATATACAAATATAAATTTTATATAGAATTTCAAGCACAATGATATAGTTCAATGATAACGTTTCACTTTAAACCAAGACACCCATAGAGATGATTTATATTTATAACAATATCACTATTACAATATTTTTATGATATTTTTTGTATAAATTTTATATATGAATAAATTTTTCCATTTTTATTTACACTATCGTTTTCTTAATCGAATATTCACCTGCATTTATTACAGTATTAGCAAACACCACCATTCGCGTAAAATCTAACCGACCACCCAATTAAATTTGGAAGCACAAAAATACAATATAGATATATATATATATATATATATATCCGTTTATACAAAATAAAATCAACAAAAATGTACTCCACAGCCTAATGGTGTATGTATTTTTTTGAATTTTGAATTCTTATTTTTATAATTTTAATAATTTTTAAAAATATTTTTAATCATTTTTTTTTTGACTTTTTAGATCCATTTAATGTAGATACACTTAAAAAGTATAAAATTTGTACAAAAAACTTTTAAAAAATTCATTGAATACTACAAAATACGATAATGTACTGAATTTATATATATATATATATATATTTATATTTTTTTGTATTTAGTGAGTTTAAAAAATGTAAAATATTATTCTTTTTAAATAAATCTATGTGTATCTAAAAAAAATAAAAAAAAATTGCATAAAATATTAAAAAACTTCTGTAAAAACAAAAGAACATGCCAAACAAAAAAAAATCAATTTTTTTTATAAGTGAGTTAAACCAAACAAGATGATTGTTATTTTCTTTAGAATGACATGAAAAAACATCTGCATTATTTTATTATTTTATATGTATAAAGGCTAAGATGCAAATATGTCATTTTAATCCAAAAGTTAAAAGCGCCAACATAATTACGCTAACAGGGGGTCAGTGTAATTTTTTAAATATGAGAAGGGATCTGTACTAAACATAAACCTTAGGGGTGTCAGTACAATCATAAATATTTGGGCAAATTATACTGAGTATCCCTGTATTTTGATCCATGTAATTTCAATTGACTCGATCTTGATCATAAATTTATGATTATGTCTCAATTTAATCCAATTGAATACAATTTTATTTTTATTTTTTTTGATAAAAATGCATACATAAGTAGCAGGTGTCATGACTTTAAGGGTAAAATTATAATTTTGTTCAACTCAATGAGTTAACCTCGATCAATTTAGTGATAATTTTTCATCAAAAATACTAATGATATTATCAATTAGACCAAATTGATACAAAATCTAAAATTAAGTGTCAAAATTGAGGCAATTGAAAGTATAGGAACCAAAATGACACAAAAAACAAAATGTAGAGATTAAGGGGTGTAATTTGTCCTAAATATTTTAAACTTTGTTAATTAATATCCTTATAACACTGATAAAATGATACAAAATCTAAAATTAAGTATCAAAATTGAGGCAATTGAAAATATAGGAACCAAAATGACACAAAGGACAATGTAGAGATTAACGGTGTAATTTGTCCTAAATATTTTAAACTTTGTTAATTAATATCCTTAGAGCACTGATAAAAAAAAATATATAGATAATATAATATATTATGGATAGTGATTTATAATTAATGAAAATTAAAAGATATATGATGAGAAATAAATAAGTGAAAATGAACACTAAGGTTGTGTTTAGGGATTTAGAAAAAAAAAATATTTGACAAAAAAATTAATTTATATTTCTTTCACATTTACTCATTTTTTCAAATTTTGTTTTTTAAAATCTCTCTATCTTAATTCATGATTCAAATAAAATTTAAATATAATAATTTAGATTTTAATTTTATCATATTCAAAAAAAATTAAGTGATATATTAGAATACAAATGGAGTCAGGACAGATTAAAATGGGAAAGGAGAAACAAAATCTATCCCGTCCTCAATAACAAAATTAAGAT